ATATCAAGTGATAACTACACATATAAATAAAAGTGTAATGTTTGTCAGAACCTGTTCATGGTAGTTCCGCAGAGACCAAAAACTTTGTTCCTGGGGGATTCATTCTGAAAGTTAATGCAAATTAATGACGAGAGCACAGAGAAAAAAGTTTGCTTTCTGGTTGATACATCTGCTAATTACAATTGTCAAACAATTGGTTCTGTATAAGCTGAAAGGATATAAAAAAGTAAAACTGAACACCAAGTTCTTCTNAGTTCTTCTCAATCATCATGTTTGTAAGGGACCAAAAGTACTTAAAACTTTAACATGTAGTAATACATTGTGATCCATACACAGACATACAGAAATGTGTTGCTTAATTATATTTTATATGGTTTTGAAGAAAATAATGTTTTAATTAAAGCTGTCCCAAATTTCAAAAAAAAATATTTTAAGAGTTACTAGCATTGAGAGGGAAGCACCTCAGCTGCTGAACCCAGCCCCAGCGAGCTCAGGCTTCGAGCCTCTGTCTACGCATTGCACCCTAAATCCCGGGGCCTGGTCTCCTCCCAGAGAGGTAACTCAGGTCCAGACAGCCTTGACAGGACCAGGCTCAGCGGCACAGGGGGTAATGTCACAGGGCTTAGTCACAACGGGAGCCGCCTTTGCGTCCAGTACTGTCACTCAGCCGGTGGGTCCAGAGGGCCTCCAGGCCATGATAGCCCAGGCCGTGGCACAATTTATGGCCACATCCAGACCACACCAATCACAACAAACTCCCTCACCTTCACTGAGGAACAGCGGGTTGGCAGGGTCACTAGAACCCACAGAGGAGGCGATGTCCGAGGCAGAATCAACTGGCTTTGACCATTCAGGCATCGTCTTGTCTGAAGAGGAGGATGCAACAACGCCAGAGCCGACTCCGCCAGTGGGCCTTTTCGACCACTCACTGTTCAATATCCTGCTGATAAAGGCCTGCACCACAGGCAACCTTTCCACAGAACAGGAGACACCAGCCCCGTCTTCTAACGACCCCAACCCAATTTATAAAGAACCGGTGGTGACACAAAACCATATCCCTTGCCCCCCATTCTTCAGTAACACTGTACAAAAGCAATGGGAGAACCTAGGATCCATACCTAGCATGGGGTCCGCTGAAAAGAACCTGTTCAATGTGTCCCCCACATTTGCATCAATACTAGAGGTGCCTCAGATCGATGAGCCTTTGAGTTCCCTGTTCCCAAACTCGGGGGTAGCGGGGGACATATCGGAGGCTCTTAAGGCGGAGGAAAAGAAGTTCGACACAGCCCTTAGAAAGTCTCACCAAGCAGCAGCTTGGGCAGTTAAGGCCTCCACCTCGATGTCCTTCTTCGCACGAGCTTCAGTACTCTGGCTACGTGAATTGCAGGGCATGATCCCTCAAGATCAGGTCAGGATGCACCAGAACCTGGGTAAGCTGGTGGCCACGTCACAGTATCTAGCCGACTCCTCCCTCCATACGGCCAGATACTCCGCACGATCCATCGCCGCAGCCATTTCTGCACGCAGATTACTGTGGTTAAAGAACTGGCGGGTGGACCTAAAGGCCAAGTGGAGGGCAGTCACCAAGCCGTACAAGGGAGGACTCCTATTCGGAACGGCCCTTGATTCTTACCTGGTCGAGGGCAAAGACAAGCGCAAATCACTAGTGAACGCGCCCAGGAAGGGAGACAAGAGACCGGGAGCTGGAACCTCTCAGGCCTTTTATCGTAGGCAGCCCTTTCGACCAGCCCCCAGCTGAAGCTGGGGTCAGACAACCAGCGCCCCCTTTCAAAGACAAGACCGGCAGCAGAACCGTACTTCATACGGTAACCGTCACCAGGCACAGGCGAGACGTTCCTCAAGAGGAACCGGAGGAAGATTCACCAGGCGAGGCAAGTGATACCACTACAGCTGACCCCATAGGGGGTAGGCTGGCCCGTTATTCCAACATATGGGCAGCCACTACCACAGACTCATGGGTATTAGACACCGTGACCCATGGGCTAATGCTGGAATTTTGCTCCAGCCCAATCAACCGTTTCCGAACATGCCCCACTCCCACAAATGCAGACAGGGCAACCCTCATGTCAGAGGCCATAGGGCACCTCCTTCAGATACAGGCTATAGAGCTGGTACCTCAGAATCAGGAGGGTCAGGGGTTCTACTCCAACCTGTTCGTCGTTCCCAAGACATCAGGGGGTTGGAGGGCAATACTGGACCTTAAGGACCTAAACTTCTTTTTAAAATACAGGAAGTTCAAGATGCAGTCCCTACAGTCAATCCTGACTGGCATCAGACAGGGGGACTTCCTTACCTCCATAGACCTGACCGAGGCATACTTACACATTCCCATCCTAGCGGGCCACCGTAAGTTCCTTAGGTTTTGTTACAATCAGGTCCATTACCAATACAGAGCTTTACCATTCGGCCTATCCTCAGCCCCTAGAGTTTTCACCAAGGTATTGGCGGCACTGGCTGCACACCTGAGGCGGGTACCCATCAGGGTCCAGTGCTACTTGGACGACATACTAATTCAGTCATCCTCCGCACAGAGGGCTCAATCAGACCTCACCCTAACAATTAGTACCTTACAGGACCACGGGTTCTCTGTCAACTTTTGCAAGAGCCACACGATACCCTCAACAAGGCTCCTTCATCTAGGAGCAATAATTGATACATGCAGCTGTACGGTATATCTATCACAGGATCGCCAGACCAGCATCTGCAGGACAGTCCAGAGAATCCAGAGAGCCAGAGTGACTTCCCTGGTATCATTATCGCAGCTTCTGGGAAAGATGGTGTCCTGCGTTCAGATCGTGCCTTGGGCCCGCCTACATGCCCGGGAGTTACAGTGGCTTCTCCTTCCGTTCCAGAGGCTGCGCATCGGCGCCTCCAACCGGAAGGTTCGATTTCCGCAGGCAGCGTTGAACTCCCTTCAATGGTGGACCTCCCCAGCATTGACGCGGGGGTCGGTGTTCAAGGAACCAACAAGGATGACCCTCACCACAGACGCCAGTCTATTCGGCTGGGGAGCACACCTGGACTCCCACTGGGCACAGGGTCAGTGGTCAGAGCAGGAATTGAAGAACAACATAAACTGGCTAGAACTCAGGGCGATTCGCCTGGCCCTAGGTCATTTCAGGGGCATTGTAAGGGGGCAACACATTTTAGTGCTTACCGAAAACGTAGCAGCCAAGGCGCACGTCAACAGGCAAGGGGGGACAAGGTCAAGGGCGCTCATGGAAGAGGCCCAATTGCTGGGGGCGTGGGCGGAACTAAATCTTGCTTCCCTCAGGGCAGAACACATTTCCGGAGAGTCCAACCAGCAGGCGGACTCCCTGAGCAGAACAACGGTGGACCAGGCGGAATGGCAGCTGGATCCACAGGTGTTCCAGGAGATCACGGACAGGTTTGGCCTTCCGATCCTAGACCTCTTTGCCTCCCCGAACAATGCCCAACTACCAAGGTTCTTTTCCAGGTTCCCCTCACCGTCAGCGGAGGGAACGGATGCCCTTCGCAGTCCCTGGCCAAAGGGACTGTTGTACGCCTTCCCTCCCCTTCCACTCCTGCCAGCCACGATCTGGAAGACGCTGCAGGAACAAGCGGAGATCCTTCTGGTCGCACCCCACTGGCCCAGGCGCCCCTGGTTTGCCGATCTGACGGATCTCTCCATAGAGGCCACGTGGCATATTCCATCAGATCGCATCTCCCTCACACAGGGGGGGCTTCAGCATCCAGACCCCCAGTGGTTACAGCTAGCCACCTAGCACTTGAACGCCAGGCATTGAGTCAGGACTCATATTCAACAAGGGTAATAGACATGATCCAACAATCCAGACGCCCCTCTACAAATAGAATATACGACGCAACCTGGAGGGGATTCTGCCGGTGGTGCTCAGGCCGCGGGTTCGATCCCTTAGCAGCCTCTGTACCTACAATACTGGAATTCCTAGTAGATGGACTGGAGAGCGGTCTATCCCTGAACACCATCCGCAGACAGATAGCAGCTCTCGCTACAGTAATCACGTGCGACAGCGCTCTTCCCCTAGCACAGCATCCCATGGTTCGTTCCTTCATCAGGGGAGCTTCCAATGCATGTCCACCGACGGTACATCAATATCCTTCGTGGGAGCTTCACCGGGTCCTAATGGCACTCGTTAAGCCACCATTCGAGCACATAGACACATGTCCGGTCAGAATCCTATCGCTGAAGGTGGCCTTTTTGGTCGCAATCACGTCAGCCAGAAGGATTTCTGAGCTGGCGGCCCTATCGGTGAACAGGAACATGTGCATATTCCATACGGACAGGGTAGTACTTCGACTGGACCCGTCCTTCCTACCCAAGGTTAACTCCCTATACCATAGATCGCAAGAGGTGGTGCTACCGGACTTCTGTCCTAACCCATCCAATGACATTGAGAAACAGTGGAACGCCCTCAACGTACGTAGGGCCCTACAATGCTACATACACAGGACAGCAGACTTCCGTAGGTCCGAGGCATTGTTCATATCCTTTCAACCTCCATCCAGAGGTCAGAAGGTCTCCTCTTCCACGATTGGCAGATGGATCAGGGCCTGCATTGCCCTAGCATATCAGAACCAGGCACTGCCAATCCCTAGCCATATAACCGCTCACTCTACCCGCGGCGCTGCCACCTCGGCGGCTTGGACAACTCAGGCATCCATAGAGGAAATTTGCAGGGCAGCGACCTGGTCCTCGCCCTCATCTTTTGTCCGCCACTACAAGGTTGACAAGTATGCAACAGCTGAAGCTTCATTCGGACGTAAGGTCCTGAAGCAGGCATTGGCATTAGAAGAGAACCAGGCCCAGTCAGACTCCCTCCCTTAGGGACACAGGGCTTTGGTATGTCCCATTGGTGAATTATCCATCCAATCATGTTGGAGAAAGGGCGTTGTTTACCTGAACGCCTATTCTCAACATGATGATGGATAATTCACCCCCACCC